AGGTGACATTAGGGGTCCTAGAGACCCCTAATGTCTCCATAAAGAGGACCTGTCAGTGTGCCTTTGCTATTATATAGGGGGATTGTTATCCCCCATATATTATAGCAATAACAATAAGTGCAAAAAACATATATATAAGTAACATATAAAAAAGTAAAATAAAATAAGTCACATATAAAACTGGTTAACCTCCCAGCATGTCTTTGGAGTGTGGGAGGAAATCGGAGTACCCGCAAGAAACCCACGCAAGCACGCAAACAACTTTCAGATAGTGAACTGATGGGGATCCGAAACCGTGCTGCAAGGCAGAAGTGTTAACCACTAAGCCACTGTGCTGCCCACTAAGCCACTGAATAGGGAATGATTCATTGATTGCTTTCTAGCACGTCTCATTGATCATGATTGTTTGCTCTATGTATGATGTGATTGACAAATGATACAGCTGCTTGGGTAGGCATCCTTGGCATCCAGCTGTTGCAGAACTACAAGTCCCATGAGGCATTGCACACACTACACGCACATAAAGGTTGAACTCGATGGACCTGTGTCTTTAACCTCAAATACTATGTAACTCACTTGACACACTTAAGTGACAGCTCTGAGTCTCCTGGGACTGCTGACATACCATTCAAGATGGCGGCGCCCAGCAGTAGTCTCAGGATGGATTTCTACACATGGGAGGTTTTCACAGGTAAATGCCATTCCTAGAATATGATAAATGCGCATGTGATCTTATGGGGGAAGATTGTTGTTGATCTGAATAATGTTGGGGACAGGGTCTCTTTAATCTCCCTCCTCGCTAGTAGCGCATACTGGTCCATTCATCTACATGGAATGAAAATAACTGGGGTAGGCAACCTTGGCATGCCAAATGTGGTGACACTACAAATCCCATCATGCCTCCGGTTTCCGAGGTCATGCCTTTGGCTGTCAGTCTTGCAATGCCTCATGGGACTTGTAGTTTCATCACAGCTGGATTGCTGAGGTTGCCTGCCCCTGGAAGCCCTTTGCAAGCTTCAGGTTGTGAGTAGGAGCTTACACTGGGCTGCGGACCATCTTTGTCACCTGGAAGAAACAGGAGTGAGTCACATGCTCCTCCATACCCACAAACGCCGGATAGTGCTCCTCACTCCCAGCAGCGGGGGAACAAAGCGACAGGGGACGTTAAAGGGAATGGTGCCTGGTTATTGTTTCCTTTTTGGGGAGATTTTTCTTTCTTTACTTATCCAGGTGATCAGCAGGACAGGAAGTGAAGCAAAATCACCTTTATAGAGACACTGCAGTGATAGTCTATCAGAAGTACTAACCTTTCCCTTTCAAAGTTTTACCCGGAGCTCTCCTTTTAATTGCCCACAGTAGCAGGTATTACATGAGCATTTTGATTGCTTTTTTTCCCCCATCTATAGCTGGGTGAGGCCAGAAACGGTTTCAAACTGTGTCAGTCTGTTATCCTCTAGTCAGGGTAATGGCGTTACTGGAAAGTATTTATATAGTGCCAGCAATGTAGACCGCGCTCTACAAACTGCACAGTCACATCAGTCCCTGCCCTCAAAGAGCTTACAGGTCCCTATCGCGCACACATACAG